GGGGGGGGGGGGGTCCGAGGATCGGGCTCGGCGGTGGGGTGGCCCGAGATGGAGTTAGACGGACGCGGTGGCGTCGGTAGCCAGGCTGACGTCAGTGTCCGAGTTGGCGTCTGGCTCGGCAGCAAGCTCGCGCTGGAGCTCGTTGATTGCAAAGAGGAGGAGGGAGAACTGCTTTGTCCGTCGGCTCTTCTTGGCGGCGAGGGCGTGCTCGGCGGCGTCGAGGGCGTCGAGACGCGAGCGGACGTTGTCCAGGGCCGCCAGCGAGTCTGAACGCTTGGGGAACTCGGAGATCTTGGAGGCGAGCATGTCGTACTCCTCGTTGTTGCGCCGCTTAACCCTCTCGGCCGCGAGGCGGTCCTGCAGGGTGGCGACGTCGTCGGCGACTGCGAGCTCTGCGGCGCGGATGCCCTCCAGCGCCTTCTCGTACAGCTCGTGCTGAGCTGCCGCACGGCCGTGCAGAGCCCTGCTCCGGCCCATGTCCAGCGCATACGTCTCCAAGTCGCGCAGCAGCGCGCTCGCCGTCCGCTCCACCTCGTCCGCATCGACAGGCTCTGCCTTGAGCGACTTGGCGAGGAGAAAGTAGCGCTTGACAATGTTGGTCAGCTGCGGCTTCTCGCCCAGCTCGAGCCTGGCCCGCACAACGTCTTCGTCCATGGTGTGTGGAGGAGTGGGGTGGTGGGAGGGGTGAGAGCGGAGGTGGGGTTGTGGGAGGGGTGAGAGTGGCGGCGGTGACGGGGCAAACTTGGTCAGTGCAGCCAGGGAGGGGTTGGAGGGGGGTTGACAGGGGAGAAAATTCTTTTAGTGGGGCTGGGACAAATTTTCTCAGTTTTACTTGCGGAGAATTATGACTACAAATTGGCGCACACGGGTCAAGTCCGCCGTTGAGTGGTGGAGCTCAGCAGAGGAGTGCGATTGAAAGCTTGTGGTTATGACGGGGGACGGTCGTTGATTTTCTTAGATGCGATGGCTGTGGGCGGAGGAGGCATACGGGAAGGCTAGCGTGGGCTCTTTCTTCATGCCAGCGCGATGTGGCGGCGCGGTGTTGCGGCGTTGGCTAGACCCGTGCAAGCGTGATGCGCCAACGGAGGATGGTGAAGAGGAGGGTGACAAGAGTTGGCACAAAGTAAACGACGAGCGAGGGGATGGAGCGGAGGATGCGGAGGATACGTCCGAGGAGCGAGGTGGCGAGCTGGAGCGCGTCCATGACAAAGGCAGCGAGCGAGAACGACGACGGGTTGGAGGCTGCGGCGACGCGGGAGCGCGGCGCACCCGGGTTGGCCCGGATGGAGCGCTGGAACGACGACGACGACGACGCCGGCGCCGCGGCCGACGATGCGCGGGTGTGGGCGTCGACCATAGCCGAGAGCTCGTCGACGCGGGCGAGCGCAGCGTGAAGCCGGGCCTCGAGACGGGCTACGAGCGCGGCCATGGCGGCGAGCGGATCACGCTGGCTCGCGGCGGCAGCGTCGCCGTCGTCACTCTCAACCAGGCTCGTGTCGCCATCCATGGTCTGGGTGGTGTCGTGATAGAGAGTGGCGGCCGAGGCGGCTGAAAGTGCCGAGGCGTCCGAGGCGAGCGAGGTGGAGAGCGCCGGCGGGATCGGGCGGAGCTCGCCGTAGATGTGCGGGAGCGGCACGACCGGACGGTCGTCAGGCGCAGCAAGCCACTCGCGAAAGTACTTCATGTACATCGAGGCCGACGAGGTGGCGAGGCCAATGATGAAGACCTCAAAGACCGAGCCGAGGAGCGGCATGGAGAACGAGATGCGACAGTGCGCCTCGACCACAATGCCCGGCACGCCGGCCTCTGCCCGCAGCGCCTCCAGCTGAGTCGTGCTCTGCACGCCTGACGCCACCTCGGGATCCATCAGCAGCGCCGCGCCGGCAGCGGCATCGTCAACAACCCGGAAGACGACGCGGGCGTTGAAAAAGGTGGCCATGAGGTTGGGCCCAAAGTCGGCCTGGGTGAAGAACTTGCCATCGCGGGTAAAGACCAGCAGCTGGCGCTCGGTCATGCCCACCGTGTTGGTCCCCACCACCGAGGCGATGGCCGCCGGAAACGGAATGCCCACCGCGTTAAAGGTGCAGATCCGCTCGTAGGCCCGAGTCAGCTCGCCCAGCGCCACCCCCGTCGCCGCCGCCGCGTCAGGCAAGCCCGCTGGCTCCCACTCGGTGATGACCACGTCCTCGTCGGCCCGCGCTGCCGCATGGTACGTCGCCTTGAGTCCTGCATCACACCCGTACTCGAGAAACGTCTGCGCAGTGCAGGGGAACCAGCCAGCTACACGTCCGACGCGCACCATAGTGGAGAGGTGGTTGTGGTTGAGTTGTTGACGTGGCTGGCGAGGGGGAGGGAGGGGGGAGGGAGAGAGGGGAACGATCGGGGCGATCGGAGGGTTAAGGGGGGTAGGAGATGGAGGGGGGGCGGGGATGCGAGGTTTGCGTGTGGGGGGGGGGGCGGATTCTGGTTGATGGGGGGCGGAGGAGGGAGAGGGGGAAGGGCGCCGACGTGAAATCGGGGATCAATGGTGTCGCCCTGACAGTTCGGAAGCCGACGTGCAGATCGGTGGCCGCTTAGACTCTAGTTGACACCAGAGAACACAGCAGAGTGTGCGATAAAGCATGCAAGTGAGGAAGGGTGGTGCCTGTGGCTTGATGCGAGATACTGGTCGCCGCGATCTGGTTGTGGTTGTGCTGGTTATAGGCACACGGAGATGCCATCGTTTGCCCGGATGGTTTGCTGCAAAAACCATCTCAGTCCGATCGATGCGGGCCAGCCAACTCATGAGATGAGATGGTGTGTGTGTGTGTGTGTGCGTGTGTGTGTGTGTGTGTGTGTGACTGATGGCGGTGTCTGGGTGGCGGTCGGGTGGCAGGTGCAGGTGGCCGGTAGCAGCGGGTGGCGGGTGGCGGGCAGTGGCGGTTGTTGCAGAATCGAGCCAGGTCGGCTTTCGGCACCACTTCACCCCCACCTCCCTGAGCAACATGGCTGCCAACGACCCGCTGATGGACGACGACCTTGTCGATTACGAGGACGATGCCGTGCTCAATGAGGTTGCGCCTGCTGCCGACGAGGAGTCGAACAAGTACGTCGCAGCCTGACTCTCTCTCTCTCTCTCTCTCTGTCTCTGTCTCTCTCCTCGCCCGCTTGCCGCCGGCTCGGTGGCCTGCCGAGTCGCCCTAGCGCGACCTGACCTGCCCGCAGTCCACGGCGCAAGCTACGGCCCACCCACGCTCTTGCGCGGGCCCGGCGGTGCTTGCAAACTGGCTTGCTTCTGAAAGCACTCGCTGCAGTCTCTCTGCATGCTCCGCACCCTCTCCTCGCCCGCCAATCCGTGCCCCCCCTCCCCATCCCTGTGGCCAGCGGCGAGGAGGATGAAGCCGCCAGAAACCGGGTGGGCTTTTTTTTGGCCTTTGGCCCTCTGCGCCCCTCGCCACGCCAGGCTGTGCCAGGCTGTGCCAGGCTGCCTGCAGCGCATGGCCACGTTGGAGACGTAGGTAGAGTGGTTGGCCAGTGGTGTTCGCCATGGCCACCGTTCTACCACCTCCCCGCTCTCCCTCCCTCTCTCTCCCTGTCTTCCTTCCTTCCTTCGGTCCCCCCCGCTCGTACTCGCCCGCCAAGCAACTGCGCCATGCTTCGCCAAGCTACGCCAAACAACCGCGCCAAGCTACGCCAAGCTACGCCAAGCTACGCCAAGCTACGCCAAGCTACGCCAAGCTACGCCAAGCTACGCCAAGCTACGCCAAGCCACACCAAGCTACGCCAAGCCACACCAAGCTACGCCAAGCTTCGCAAGCAACGCCAAGCAACTATGTTACGGCACACAGCGGTCGCTCGCTCGCTTGCTCGTCCACTCCCCCCCCCCCCCCCGCCTCACCAGGCCACTCGCTCGGCAGTCGCACACTAACCCTTCCCTTCCCCCAGGGCCGGTGACTATGTGGGCATCCACTCGTCTGGCTTCCGCGACCTCCTGCTCAAGCCCGAGCTCATCCATGCCATTGTGGACTGCGGTTTCGAGGCGCCGTCCGAGGTGCAGCACCAGTGCATTCCGCAGGCGATCCTCGGCTCGGACGTGATCTGCCAGGCCAAGTCGGGCATGGGCAAGACGGCAGTGTTTGTCATTGCGTCGCTCCAGCAGCTCGAGCCGGTCGATGGCGAGACGCACGTGATTGTGCTCTGCCACGCGCGTGAGCTTGCCTTCCAGATTGCGCACGAGTACGAGCGGTTCTCCAAGTACATGCCTGCGGTCAAGACGGCTGTGTTCTACGGCGGCGTGCCGATCAAGACGCACCGCGACCAGCTCAAGAACGAGTACCCGCATGTGGTTGTGGGCACGCCCGGGCGCACGCTCCAGCTTGTTCGCGAGAACGCGCTCAAGCTCGCCAACGTCCGCCACTTTATTGTGGACGAGTGCGACCGCGTGCTCGAGTCGCTCGACATGCGCCGCGACATCCAGGAGATCTTCCGTGCCACGCCGCACGACAAGCAGGTCATGATGTTCTCGGCGACGCTCGACGAGGAGATGTCGGCCATCTGCGAGAAGTTCATGAACGACCCGATGAAGATCCTCATCAACTCGTCCAAGCTCACGCTCCACGGCCTCCAGCAGCACTACATCAAGCTTGCCGAGGAGGAGAAGAACCGCAAGCTCAACAACCTGCTCGACGCGCTCCAGTTCAACCAGGTCGTCATCTTTGTCAACAAGGTCTCGCGCGCCAAGGCCCTCAACAAGCTCCTGGTCGAGTACTCGTTCCCGTCGATCTGCATCCACTCGGCACTCCGCCAGGACGAGCGCATTGCCCGCTACAAGTCGTTCAAGGACTTTAACCACCGCATCCTCGTCGCCACCGACCTCTTTGGCCGCGGCATCGACATCGAGCGCGTCAACATCGTCATCAACTACGACATGCCCACCGACCACATGCAGTACCTGCACCGTGTCGGCCGCGCCGGCCGCTTCGGCACCAAGGGTCTCGCCATCTCGTTTGTCACCGGCAACGCCGAGGACGCCGACATCCTCGAGAAGGTCCAGTCGCACTTTGAGGTCAACATCACCGAGCTGCCCGACGTTGTCGACTCGGCCTCGTACATGAACAACTAAGCTTGGTTAAGCTTTGTGCTTTGCAGTAACACGCAGCCCCACTCTCGTGCCCCCCCTCGCCACGCAGCCGCCAGGCAAGCTTCACGCCGCAGCCTGCGCCCGGCCCATCGCCCGCTGTGAGACAATCAGGATCCGGTGCGCGTCGACGACGCTGCCGCGGACCGCGTCCGACCACGCCCGGAGATGGGCGCGGACCTCGTTGACAATGGCGGCGTACTCGTTGCCTCGCGCGAGGTGGTCGCGAACCTCGGTGAGCGCAGCCGCCCGCTTGGCGGCAATCTCGGCCGCCACTCCGCCGTCCGTCGGGCTGTGCGACCGCCGTTGGTGGTGGTGACCGCGTCTGCTCTGTGTCACAAACAGCGTCGAGTGCGGATCGCCTGACGCCATGTCGCGCGAGGCGGATGCGGATGCGGAGGTGGCGGCTGCAGAGCCTGCACTGTCATCTTGGTCGTCGTCAATGAGTACGCCAGGTAGCGCAAGCGTTTGCAGATACTCAGCGACAGCGTGCAGCGAGAGCGGGGCGTTGTCGAGGCGGGCGAGGTGGTCCTCAGAGAGCCGTGTCCGGGCCCGGACCACGTCGCACAAGTCCGAGATGGTGGTGACGAGGAGTTGGCTTTGGCTGGCAAGCAGGTCGGCCCGGCGGTGGGCGGCATCGGCGTCTTGGCGAGTGCGGCCCAGCTCGCGGGCATCGGCCTCGAGCGAGTCGACCCGCTCTCGGAGGGCCTTGGTCTCGGCCTCAAGCTTGCCGTTGGCAGCAAGGAGGGCGGCCTTGGCTGCGCCGAGCGCCTTGTTGCGGGCTGTAGCCTCGGCATAGCCGGCAACTTCGCGGTTGAGCATGGAGATCTTGCGATCGGAGCGGGCAACTTCGGCCTCAAGGCCGACTAGGGTATCGCGGAGGGCGAGGGCCTTGGTATGGGCCTCGCGGACACTGCCGCGGTCGGCCTCCATGGCAGCGAGCACATCCTGGACCGCGTCCCACGCGGCCTGCGACGGCGCCGCAAGCTTGCGGGCGGCGGCAGCCTCGGCGCGCAGAGCTGCGTTGGCGCCCTCCAGCTGGGCCACCGTCTCGCGCGACGCCGAGAGCTCGCGCTCGACGGCACTCAGCACGCTGTACTGTGCCATGCTTGCGGCCACAAGGGTCTTGACTCGCTTGGCGAGAACGGCGACAACGGCGGCGTCGCCGCGGGTGCCATCGCTCTGCGTCGCCTGCCTCGCAGCTGGCAAAGTGCGGGGTCCACGGCGGGAGCCTCCGTGGAGCGGCGATTGGGCCTGCCGGCGGCGGCGGAGTCGGCTTGGCGACTCGTCGTCGTGCGGGTCGAGACGGACCCGCTTGGACGGCGACGCCGAGCCACCGGCGCGCGCCTGCTCCTCGCCCCAGGCCATCAGCGGCGCAGGGGTGGGGAACATGGAGTCGGCCGACGGCAGGCCGCTAGCCTGCGGCGAGGCCGGGTGCGACGCAGTCGGCTCGTCGAGAGAAGGAGCCCCCGCTACGAGTGGGGCGGAGGCCGACGCAGCAGGCCGCGACATGCGCGCCATCATTGCGGCGTAGCCGGCCTCGGTGTCCGAGGCGGCTTTGACGGCGGCATCGAGGCGCTTGGTGAGGACCTCGTTCTCTTGCTCGGCAGTGAGAAGCGCGCGCTGAGCGTGGTCGAGCTCGCGCTCGAGGTTCTGGCATGTGACCTG